CCCTACCTGAGAGAGCACAGGGTCATCTCACCTGGGCGTGTGGCAGATGGCGCTGCTTAGAGGTGGTGGTGAGGAGGGGCAGCTGGTGCCAAGAGCCCCTCTGGCTTGGCCAGTCCCGGGCACAGCAGAGGCGGTGAAGCTGTGAGCAGGCTCTGTTGCATCAGGTTGCCCAGGCAGAGGGCAGGGGCTTGCCTTTCCTCCCAGAGCTTGCTGTGTATCCTGTGTATCCTGACGCCTTCTGTCCGGGTCAGCCCGTCACTCAGCAGAGGTACACACACCAAGAACTCAAATGACGTCACCACACACCAGTCACAGGCAATTCAAACGTGGTGTTGGCACCTCAGTGCCGACACATCATCCTGTTTACAATGCTGCCATCATCTTGTTTACATGCCAGGCCCTCAGACTTGGGCTCAGAGGTCAGTCTGGAAGCACCCGGTGGGGGGCTTGCTTAAGATGCCAAGCTCTGTACGCATGGGGGATTCTCACTTTTGTGAGAAGTCAGAGGGTACCCATGTATCATACAAGACCAGAAGTGCTCGCAGCTGGGCGCACGGGCCGGGTGACACCTGCTGTGTGGTTTGGAAGACATCAGCCCGCACTGCCACTGGAGCCTCTTGTAGAGAATCCATAAGTGTGTTGACTCTGAGCAAAAGACAGGAAGAGAGGGCCGGGCTGACCTCTCCACGGTCCCTGCCATGCCTTCCTCGGGTCCTCAGGGGCACCCTTCCTGGGGAGGGGCCAGAGGGAACGAAGCAGCTGGGAGCCAAGATGCCTGAGTTCTATTTCCAGCTGCTACCACTGACTCACCGTGTGACCTTGCTGAGGTCACGCGTGTGTTTTTCTTGCTGGGGAAAACTCAGAGGGATTTGCCTGAATGGGGATGGGGGGGGCGCTCGCTGGTCCTCACAAGCCCCAGTCATGTCTGGTCCTGCTGGTCCTGTCGAGGCAAGGGTTAGATTTGGATCCTAGGGGCTTTGGGGACACTCAAGCAAGAAGCCCGTCTTTTCTGAGCCAGTGAGGGATCCTCACTCACCAGCACAGGCAGCAGACAGTGCCCTCTAGCGGTGGCAGTGAGGAGGGGCAGCAGGCACGAACACAGACTTGGGGCTACTTGAATGTCCAGTGTTTCTCAGGACGCTTTTCCAACCATGTTCCCCTACTTCTCTCCCTGTGGTGCTCACATCACATTGTCTCTGCAAGGGCATAGGGGTGGGGTGGGGTGGAGGAAGGGGTGTTTTCTGGTTTAAAGATGAGAAAAATCACAGTCAGGAATATGGTTTCATTACCAATCCCCCCAAAGACCAAACCCACTGCCATCGAGTTAAAGCCAAATCCTAGTGAGCCAAAGTAGGGTTTCCGGGACTGTCCATCTTTACAGGAGCAGAGACCCTCATCTTCTTCCCACAGAGCAGCTTCCCCACCATGACCCCACCCCTGCCCTCCCGTGTTGTCCAGCTGCTGCTGGCCAAACACACTGCACTTCTTAACTAGAAACGGCACTCTGTCTTCACTCACCAGGGTCTCCAGTGAGCATCGGTTACGTGTCTCTTCAGCACAGGAGCTACTGCCACCCTGAGCTCAATCCAAGGTTGCAGGACGAGTAAAGGCTCAGGGACCAACGACTGGGAAGTGCTTCCCCAAGGGCATCAAGTGACCCATCCTTTGTGATGCTCCATGGCTAGGTATGAGGGGGGACCAGGACCAACCCTCAGGGACCCTGGGGTGGGGGTGGGGGGCTCATGCACACACAGACACAGGCACAGAGACACACTCATGCAGGATGGCGGCCGCATCCGCTTCCGGGAGTTGAGAAGCAACAATGGCGAGGGTTCCGACCAGGAATGGGTTCTGCTTCACAGCGGGGCTCATGTTTGGAAACCCAGAAGAAGTAACTGAGGGTCCGGGGTGTTCTGGGGAATTGTCAGGGAGGTTGCTGTTGGTTGGCTCAGACTCAGGGTGACCTTGGGTGTAAACCTGAATGAAAGGTGGCCCGGTTCTCTACGTCCTCAGGATCTTCCACAGGTCTGAGCCCATTCTGAGGGTACTGCGCCCAGGGTTTCCCTCATTTTGTCACCCCTCTACTTTCCCAAGGAGTCTCTGAGTGGTGCAACGGTTAAGCACTCAGCTGCTAGCTGGGAGGCTGGAGGTTGAAACCCACCCAGAGGTGCCTGGGGATCTGTGATGGAAAAGACAGACTTGGAAAGTCTATGGAGCAAAGTTCTGTTCACGCCCATCGCCATGGGTCGGAACGGACTCTACGCCAACGGATAATAACAACAGTAGCTATTTTACGAAGCTGCTGTCCCTGTTTAATCACTGGTCTTTCCTGTCCCACGTAAGCGAGGCAACTCTCCTTCTTTACAGAAGCATTACTCTTTACGGGAGTAGAAAGCCCCGTCTTTCTCCCTTGGAGCCGCTGGTGCTTTTGAACTGCGGACCTTGTGGATTGCGGCTCAACATGTAACCCCTCTCCACCAAGGCTACGTTTAACATACCTGCACATTCTGCACATTGGTGGATTCTTGCAGAAAGCGCCATTTCTGCCGCTGAGCACTTTCACCCACGCTGGGAGCATCTAGATTTTCAAAAGGATGAGACTAGAGGGAGGTTGGAGAGTGAGGATGAACTCAAACTGGGGCCCTAGAGAGAGTGGGGCACAGACAGGGGACTGGGAAGGGCTGGGCTGGTGGCCTAGGGCCAGCCGAGAAAGAGATGCAGGACCCTACGTGTGTCTGTGAGCCAGCCAGAGCCCTCCTGCAAACACTCATCCTCTGTTGAGCCCTTGGCTCCGTTCCAGGGGCTCAGGTTTTGATCCTGAGGCTCGGAAACATCGGAAGGCATCGAGACTGCCTGTACCTTTGGAAAAAGGCCGGGGCTTAGTGCTGTGGCTTCAGATTCCAAGGCTCCACCAATCCCCATCAGAGACAAGGTCACGGCAGGGTCCCTGGGGGCCTGTTGCCCAACACCTGTTCCCTGGGTTATTTTGGTCCAGTAAGAGCTTGTCAATTCCAGAGTATTTGGCCCAACACAGCCAGGAGCAGTAACCATCTCCTGGCAGCCCTGTTGGGACCCCCAAGGAAAGGAGTTTGGCTTGGGGGTTGGCGAAGAGGAAACCCAGCAGAAGCTTTGCCTGAATTTCCACCTCCTTGTTTTTTTATGAGTTGGGCTGCAATCTCCAAGGCACGCAGTTCAAAACCACTAGGCACTCTGTGGGAAGAAGACATGGGCTTTACTGTTTGAAGAGTTAGAGTCTCAGAGACTCACGGGGCAGTTCTGCCCAGCCTTATAGGGCTATAGCGTCCCTTTGAGTTGGCATTGACTCGATGGCAATGAGTTTGGTTTGAGTTTTTGCTGCTCTTGTCAGCCTTTCAGGGACATGGGGTGGGTCTCTTGGGGACCAAGGCTGAGGATTTGGTGGGGGAGGGGGGGGAGTGGCTATTTTATGATATGGTTTCTTGACTTAGTGGTCCTCTCTGGAAGGTGAGATGCAGTTTTTCCCTTTCCCACTGGACAGATACAGCAGTGGGACAGATACAGCAACCTTTCATACAGTTCCTCCTGTTGTGGTGACCCCCCAACCATAACATTATTTTCGTTGCTAGTTCATCACTGTCATTTTGCTACTGTTATGAATCGGTGACCCCAGTGAAAGGGTCCTTCGATCCCCAAAAGGGTCGCGACCCACAGGTTGAGAACCACTGGGGGAGGTGCTGGCTACTGCTGGGTGAAGCCTGGAATTTCTACTCCCTCCCAACTCCCAGTCTGGCCTGGCTCCGCGGTGGGGGTGGGGGGTCGCCAGTTCTGCGCAGTTCCCAGCCAGTTTGCCATGTGCTGGCCTGCCCCGTTTCTCCTTCAGACCACAGTGTAG